GTGTCACAGAGGTGATAAGCATTTCCTCCCTTCTTCCATCCAAGTCCTTAACGAATGAAGACTACCAGAATCGCGACTGAATTCTGTGACATCCTACTTGTTGCTTCTTTACAATTGGGGAACTGACGTTAAACACATCTTTCGTTTGGTTTTTCAAGTTAGCTCTATATCCAGGGATGGGTTTCTGCCAATTCGGCCCTGGATCGGGCGAACTGGTAGTGGCAGTGGTGGGAGGCTCCGCCCACCCACCCAGACACTTCCACGCATACGCAGAAGAGTCTCACGCGTGGGCACAAGCAAACCGATAGTAAAAAAAATGGAAACCTACCACTGCTATATCCACTTAAACATGCCATCCCACTCCCAATTACTAAATTAATTACCAAAGTTTGGTAATTAAAATATCAATGCATTCCATGAAATGCTTGGTTAAAATCAATATATATCTATCACATTCCCACATTCTCGTGTGGGCTTTCCCAGATTTTAAAAAGCGGACGAGCAAATAGCTGTTCTTCTCCCTCTCCCATTCTCCTTCTCACACTCCTCCCACCTTCCCAACACACTCAGTTTTCCTCATCTTGGCAACTCATTTCTTCTTTCCTGTAAAAAGTGTATCAACAATTACAGTCAACGTTTTAATTTTTCTCTAGAAAGGGGTGAAGGAACACAACAGGTAATTTGTAGAAGTTTTTTTTTTAAGTGGTACTGAATTTGGGTCTTTCCAACAAAGTAGGGGAGACCCAACTAAGAAAGGGGAGAAGAGTATGGAGAGATGAATGGTGACCATGTGCCTGCCCATGTCCCTGATGCGCTGTGGCCGCCTCCACAAGCATCTTGCCATGTCAAGTACCAGAAGTGCTCCAAAGACATCATTAGGATTGCTCTTAAAGCCAGGCAAGGGATATTCATCTATACATAGCACATGGAAGAAAGGTGGAAAAACAGCATAATCCAATTCAGCTCTTTTCTGTCACAATGAAACATGGGATGAAATGACATGGCAGGTTTCATAGCTGTTCAATTTAAACCAAGGCTATTCACCATCATGCTTAATACCTGCAATTGCCAGCATTGATAAAATGACATTTCCTGTATCCCCCTCCTCTTGAGTGAAGCTGCAAACTCTCCTCTTTGAAACTTCCCCAATTTCCTCCTCACCTAAGACCCCAGTCCCTTTGGAGAGGTGACATCCTAATGCAACATCAATCATTCCCCTGAAGTATCGGATGATGGAATGTATGTACAGATGAGGTCCTGCGGATCAGAGGAGATAGGACCCAGGTATGGATGGAATGGCCATGAGAGTCAGGATTATGAATTCTGATAAAACATTTTCTCTTTGCCTTGACAATTAAGAGCTTTCCTCCTTTCCTGTCTCTCTCATTGAAGAGGGAGGGGGAGAGAGGGGTTGCTGCCTCAGGCAAAAGTTTTAAACTGCTTTTACTTTTCTCTGCAGAAGGAGGGTCGCGGGGGNATTGTGTAGTGGGCTTCAGTAGGCAAGAACAAGACCAGCATAGCTACAACAGCATTTATTGACTCAAAACTGGAACTGAGGAACAGCAGGCAAATCCCTGTAATTTATACTCTGGGCCCACAGGGTCTTAACCAATCATAAAGCTTGAAAAAGCCTGCCCAAATATGAATGTTCAAAGTTTCCCTCCAAAACAGTTGGAGCTAACAGTTGGGGTCATCTAAAGGTTATTTTCACTTTATCAGGGCTTAACACAACAATATACATTCAATACATAACACATAGGGTCTCCCGCTTATGTAGGGGGTTGGACTAGAAGACCTCCAAGGTCCCTTCCCACTCTGTTATTCTGTTATTTCCTTTTATTTCAGCCCTCCTTTAAGAAGGATTCGAAGCATTACCTACCAGCACTGATGGTACTAAACCTCTGTGTGTCCCTAAGGAGTTGATCCACCATAGGGCTGGCCCGTGGATACAAGGCGTGGCGATTGATCCCCAGGTGGAACTGAAACCAGCTTGCTTCGTGTCGGAGTTGAACCCCTGAACCCACGGTTAGGTTGCGCTCTTCTCTATAAACCTGGTGTCGTCTGAAATACATGAAGCAGAGAACTTGTGTTTATTCAAATATTATAAAGCGCCTCAAAGGAATTGTCACTAATATAGTGTAAGGTTTTCGAATTCAGCTCAGAATCTGATAAGTCCAATGAAACTCTGAACACAAGGCTACTGATGCAGAAAGCAAAAAGACTTTACGGCATTTTTGTCTTCCACCTTAATAGAGCAGGCATAGAGAGAGAGAAAAAAAACAGATACGAGCCCCACCGTCTAGTGAAAAAAAAACTTTTTTCAATCTTCTTATAGTCTTACACAGCTTGCACAGATCGTCATAGTGTTAGAAATGTTATTTCATGTTACACAAACCTCATGATTTTTCTCAGCACACTGAAAACAATGGACCTTAGAAGAGGAAAGAAATACATTTTCTGGCATATAAGGCAGAGCTTTGTTAGGGAATGCTGAACAAGTTGCAAGCAAGGTTATTTTGCAGAATCCACTTGTTACTTTACTAGGCTAAGCTTGGCAATTCACCTAGAAGTTTTATCTATGAAGTTGGCACATTAAGTTATGATGGAGCTTCTCTCAACAGCAATTTAACAAAAGCTGAATTAAGTTACACTCTGTGTATGCGCTAATCCTTCAGGGGTCCTTTCAATAGGTTATCCTTAAACAATGACCACGATTGAGCCCAAAATTTCCATTGCTAAGTGAGACAGTTGTTAAGTGGGTTTTGCCCCATTTTATGACCTCTCTTGCCACATTTGTTAAGTGAATCACCCTCAGTTGCTAAGTTAGTAATATGGTTGTTAAAGTGAATCTGGCTTCCCCGTTGACTTTGCTTGTCAGAAGGTCGCAAAAGGGGATCACATGAGCCCAGGACATAGCAACCATCATAAATATGAACCAGTTGCCAAGCATGCAAGTTCTGATCACGTGACCATGGGGATGCTGCAATGGTTGTAAGGGTGAACGACGGTCGTAAGTCACTTTTTTCAGTGCTGTCATAACTATGGTCACGAAATGAATGGTTGTAAATCAAGCACTACCTGTAGATAGTTTGTCCAAAGAGATCCAAGTTTCAACCCAGACCAGGGGTGTAAAACTCAAGGAGTGCTTAGATCTGGCATGCAGGGCCTCTGTCTGCTGAAAACAGCGGACTGGCCCGCGGTGCCTCTGCCAGTGAAAATGGAGCCTGGGAGGGCTATCAGCACTCCCAACTCCGTTTCCACTGGCAGAGGGTTGCAGGAGCTGTCGTGGCCAAAAATGGAGCCCAGGGGCCACGCATGGTCCCTCCATTGCTCTGTTTTCTCTGGCAGAGAGCTAGCAAAACAAACTAATAGCAAAACAAAACAAAAGGAGAAATGTTTCCCTTTTTGCATTTGAGCATGCAAGAAGGGACAGGAAAGGAGAAAGGGAAAGAGGAAAGAAAAAAGAAAAAGAAGGAAAGATGGGAGGGAGGGAGGGAGGTGCAAGCCACGGGCAGGCTACCACAGATGCCTCCGACATGAGTGACGTCGAGCTGACCACGCCGACCTTGGCCCCCAAGATCAAACACAACCCTTATGTGGCCCTCAATGAAATCGAGTTTGACAGCCACGATCTAGAATATCAATAGGCTGGAGGTTGCCATCTTTGCGACAAACCATGTTGGCCCAAGTGAACAATGAGTCTGGCTACTATCTCTCTCCTTCACTCACTTCCTTCTCCCAATTGCTGGCAGCACATCTCTTCCTGTCAGTTACATTTCCTAAAACTAAGTTTACAGACGCCCTTTGCTGTTTCTGCTTTCCACCATGCTCACAACTAAATTGGAAAGAAGGCATTGACTGGTCTGGGTAGCACATTTTGTATTATGTACAGATAGTCCTTGACATACAGCCATTCATTTAGGGACCGTTTGAAGTTACAATGGCACTGAAAAAAGTAACATATGACCAGTTTTCACATTTACAACCATTGCAGCATCCCTGTGGTCACATGATCAGAATTCAAATGCTTGGCAACTGGCATGTACTGTATTTATGACTGTTGCAGAGTCCCAGGGTCATTTGTAACCTTCCCAGGCAGCTTCCAACAAACAAAGTCAATGGGGAAAGTCAGATGCATTAATGGCCGCAAGATTCATTTATCAATTGAAGTAATTCACTTAATAAATGTGATGACAAAATGTCCTAAAATGGGGCAAAACTCACTTAACAACTGCCTCGCTTAGCAATATGGCTGTTAGTTGAGGACCAGCAATACTTACATGGTTTGTTAAAATATTCATGACTGGGAGAGACATGGGAACAAGGCAGTGGTGGGTTGCAGATGGTACGCCCCGGTATGGGCATACTGGAGTCTGCCTGGAGCACCGGGTACCATTCCGGTATGGTGCTCCGGAGGGCCCACCTGCCTGCCCGTACTCCTTACCTGTCTTTAAAGTCTTCAGTGCTTCTGCACGTGCTGCGTACAGCACCTATGCGACGCTCCGCTGAGCAGCTGGAGCGTTGCAGAGGGTTGCAGAGGAGTTTCTGGATAGTACGACACATGCACGCACTGCGCACGTCCATGTGGACGACACCGGGCCATTCCAACCATACCGGTTGGAATGGGATCCGGATCCCACCACTGGAACAAGGTCAGTCAATGAATAACAACTAAATCAGCCAATGGGAGCTTAAACCTTCTGAGTCTGTACAAAGAATTGAAACAGAAACTTAAGCAGTCTGCTGCTCTGAGAAGTAAACTAGCAGTCTGTCTGGCCTTATCTGCTGAAATGAAACTAACTGCTTGTGCTTGCCTGTAACTCTCCTGCCTTGTGTTTACTTGGAAGAATCACTTATTGGTATTGTACATTTATTCATCTATTATGATGTATATAAAGAAGTTAATGAATCCTGCTGCATCAGTTATCAGTGTGTGGTTCTGGCTTTGAATTTATGCAACAAACTCTGACATGGTTTTGTGAATGTGTGGGCTTAGAGCCACCCAGAGTATTATTATATAGTTAAAAAGATTATTGTTTAAAATGGATGGAACCTGATTGCCTCCAAACCACCAGGTGCAGTTGATAATCCTGCAGTGACATCACTGCCTCATCCCCAGTAGCACTGTATACACTCTTGTGCAGCTCATGGTCTGAATGCTACAGGAAATTGGGGAGTATGGACATTAACTGGAACCAGCAGCGCCAGACCGAGCCATCTGCTGAGCTTCAAAGACGCCAGTCCTGGGAAATGAATTTGCACTGGTGCCTGAGGCACCAAGTTCCCAAAACATTAGAATGAGACCTGATTGGACTGCTCTCCCAATGGGGAGGTTTTGGACATTGAGGAATGCGTTCAATGTATGATTTTCGCACGGTTTTTCCTCAGAGCTTGCCTCATCCACGCTGCACTCATCATCTCTAGTAAAAGTACCTTTCCTCTAACGCCCATGGGAGTCAAAGGTCATTCTTTCCTAGGGAGTTTTCTGGACAGAGAAAAAGAAAGTGTCAGAAAGAAAAAGGCAACTGTGGGTATAGAACTATGGGGCATCTGCAAGGCAGAGAATTGGAGACTCTCCTCATATTTTGTTTTGGCTTCAACTCTGGCTAGTGATTTGCATCAAACCTCCAACGAATTGGAGTTCTGCATTAGAAAACATTCATTCATTCATTCAATTTAGATGGCTGTCTACCTCACCAAGTGACTATGAAAGATTAACATAGGGTTAAAAACTTGCCAAACAAACTAAGCAATGACATAATATACCCGTGATGGCGAACCTATGGCATGTGTGCCACAGGTGGCACGCGGAGTCATATTTTCCAGCATGGCAGCCCTCAGCTGATTTTCGACCTTCCAGAGGGCCGGCGGAGGCCATTTTCGCCCTCCCTAGGCTTCAGAAAAGCCTCCGGAGCCTGGGGAGGGCAAAAAACAGGCCCATGGGGCAAACCGGAAGTTCGCTCTGCTCTTTTCTTTTTCTTTCAGTTTGCTGAACATTACAGACATGGATGATAAGAATGCAACAAATGATAAATTAAGAACAGAAATTAAATTTCAAAAGGGATGATCAAAGCAAACAATTATAATGACATATGGGGGGGATTTTATAAAATCAGTGTTGGTGGAGGCAAAGGGAATAAATCTGCTCAAGAATATATGTTGTTCTGGAGGGGATAAGGGCACAACTGGAATATATTGTATATCTTAGTTCTTATAGACAGAGAAATATAAGTGTGGGGGGGGGAAACAGGGTCTCCGGGGGGTGGGGGGTAGACTGTAATATTAGTTTTTTTCCATTTTCCTTTTGGGGGGGGGGATTTAGATGTATATGTACTATGTTTGTATTATTTGCATTTAAAAATAATAAAATCGCCTCCACCCCCCGCAAAGAAAGAAATGGATGAGAAGAGTTGGCGGCCCCAGCTCTCATCAGAAGCTGGGAATCCGCAGTGCAAATCCGCTTTATGATTCAGGTAAGCAAGTTCAAGAGAAATGGCCCTCCCTGGGTGGTTACCCATCCCTTGGAGCAGTTGTGATTCTTGTAAGCAGATGTGCATTCTATATCTTTACTTGAATCCACGTCTAAGTCATAAAATGAAGGGAAGGCAGCAGTTACTAGACAAAAAAAGGCTGGGTACAAGTACATTAAAAAAAATAAAAATCTGAAATGGTTTACTACGTTAAGTACTCCAAGATCAGAAGTGGAGAATGGCCTATGGCTCAGGACATTTGTGGTTTCAAAGATGTCTAAAAAAAATAACAGGGCACTGATCTTTTTCCAAACCATAATAATCTGTCAACCTTTTGGAGAGATATAAATCCTGTAACTGCATGTGTCATCAGTGTCAGTGGCAATAATGAAGGCCATATTTGCATTAAAAGTTTAGTTGGTCCACAGTAGAAAACTCTAACTCTGTGGTGCCATCTAGTGGTCAGCCTGAATCCTTGCAGCCTAGATACAGCCACCCAGCCCTAGTGCTGGGGTTAGAGAGAATTAATTTTAGCTCCAAACAGCTTTGGGTGTAACCTTCCCTGGTGAGCTCTCTCATGCAAACCCATAAAGGAAATTAACAGAGGGTTCCTGGAAGAGCGATGAGTACTTAGGGTAGCCCACATAACTGAACCTTCTCCAAAAACTCCCTTTTTCTGATTTTTTTAGTTTTTTCTGTCCCTGAGCATAGAATTTGCTGTTGCGGTATTCAAGCTGTCCTATTAGAGCCACTAAGTGATGTTGTAGTTTTAATTTGGGACTAATAGTAATAGCACTTAGATTTCTATACCATTTTACAGTGCTTTACAGCCCTCTCTAAGCAGGTTACAGTCAGCATATTGCCGTTAACAACTTGAGTCCTCATTTTACCCATCTCAGAAGGATGGAAGGCTAAGTCAACCTTGAACCTGGTAGGATTTGAACTGCCACATGGCAGGCAGCTGGCATGCAGCACAAGTAGCCTGCAGTACTGCACTCCAACCACTGCGCCAACGTGGCTCAAATAAAGAAAAGTTGGTGGATTCCTCTGACTTTGTTTATCTTCCCACCAAGCATTACTTGCCAATCATTCTCTTGAAGAGTAGTGAGATGAGGATGGGGATGGAGAAGTGTAGACAGATGCTTGTAAAGCATGTGCAAGCAACTCTCAAGTTCCCTGACACCGTCCCCCCCCGTCCCCCCCCGCAAGAAGCTGGAGGCATAGAATTCCCATGGGTGCCATTCTGCATGCATGGTTGTCAGTGGGCCACTTCTTGGACATCAATTTAGTGCTCTTTTTAAAGGAGAGTAAAGCCCATATTGAGAAGTAGCTCAGATGACAGATCACAGGCAGGGAAGAAGGGATGCGTGGAGAATTGGGAGGGGCACTGTCTCCTACTTCAGCCAATATGTCAGCTGTACATTGTAGCCAGATGAGCAGTTCTGGAGAAATGGCATGGAGTAGACTCCAACTTGATCCACTACTGAGACAAATACGGCTGAAGAAGGGCATGAAACATGCAAAATGTGTGAATTAAGCAATTATATATCACTTCACAGTGTTTTACAGCCCTCTCTAAGCAGTTTACAGAGTCAGCATATTGCCCCCAACAATCTGGGTCCTCATTTTCCCCACCTTGGAAGGATGGAAGGCTGAGTCAATCTTGAGACTGGTGAGATTGGATCTGCAAAGACTTTTCTGGGGTTTATGTACAAATGTCTAGAAACATCACCATAGCCTCATAGTCTCTCTCCCTCTCCCCTCTCCCTCTCTCCCTCCCCCCTCTCTCTTTTTGGATGAATGAGTACTCTGATTAAGCACAATAATCTTAGGAGTGGAAAACTAAGGAGTATAAATGACTGAGTTTTAGCAATTGAGCAATAGCTTACTATATCATTTCTCTGCCACTTTAATTTGTGCAATTAAATTGGAAAATATTTCCTCCTTCCCCTCTTCCCTTTAAGCTGCCTTGTAGCAACTTACCCTTTCTCTGAATCTTATGAGAAAGTTACAATATATAAACTCTGCCCCATATATGGATCTAATCAATCTGACGGATAAAAATCCAGATAATCTTATTCTAGGGCACTTACGGACTGTATGATTCACTTAACAACAGTGGCAAAAAGGTCATAAAATCGAGCATAACTCAATCTAAGGATGACCCACTAAGGCTGAGAAGGCTTTTGTGGCTACAACACAATCATTGTAGTAGAAACTTTTGCAGGGAACTATTATTTTCAGAGGCATAAAGTGGAGTGAAGATGTGCTTGGATGTAGGAGGGAAGCTGTTTCGCAAGATAAATGCAGAAGCATAACAAATGTGTACTGGCAGCAGAAATGCCACCTATGAGTCATCCAATTTAATCTAATGCAACTTGATTTTTATGAATTGGCACAGGAGTTAAATTCTCCTCCTATAACTACGCTCCATTTACACTTGAGATAATTCTTGTTCCTAGAATTATCAAACCTGATTCACCATCCAAATGTATAAGGGACCATTATGTAAGACAATGTAAAATAAAAGTAAAGGTTCTCCTTGCACATATGTGCTAGTCTTTCCTGACTCTAGGGGGCGGTGCTCATCTCCGTTTTGAAACTGAAGAGCCAGCACTGTCCGAAGACGTCTCCGTGGTCATGTGGCTGACATGACTAAACACCAAAGGTGCACGGAGCACTGTTACCCTCCCACCAAAGTTGGTTCCTATTTTTCTACTTGCATTTTAACCTGCTTTTGAACTGCTAGGTTGGCAGAAGCTGGGACAAGGAACAGGAACTCATTCTGTTACGCAGTGCTAGGGATTCGAACTGCCAAACTGCTGACTTTTCTGATCAATAAGCTCAGCAATGAGCCACCACGTCCCTATAAGACAATGTATAATTCTGCAAAAAAATAATTTGAGAAAATTTGGCAGAAGACTCTGACTGTACCACACCAACACTGATGGATTTAGCCCTGTTTGCCCATTTCACCATCTAACAGACCAGGTGTGTGTAACCAGAGAGTATCATTTCCATCTATATTATTCACAAAACTGATAATATCTTTGTATAGGAAAGTGATGTCCCACCATATCTTAACTTGGTTTGCTTCTGTTAGGTAAATTGTGC